CTAATAACTATTACTCAGAGCTCCTAACAAGCAAAAGACCATTTCGACTCATAAGAGGATGCAGAGAATGAAAAGAAAAACGAGATGGTCTTCATACATGTGACTTTATACAGACAAATGTGTAATGTTTGGGAAACCTGTCTTTATTGTTTAGATCTACAGATCTTAATTCTGTTTTTGATAAGTGCTGGTAATTCTATTCTATTGGTAACACTTTATTATAGGGACCAATTCTCACTATTAGCTAGTTGATTATTAGCATGCCTATTATTAACATATTGGCTGTTTATTAGTAAGCACATATTCTGCATGACCATATTCTACATCCATAATCCTAGCCAATACCTAAACTTAACAACTACCTTACTAACTATTAATAAGCAGCAAATTAGCAGTGTATTGAGGCAATAGTCGTAATTAATGGTGACTTGGCGAGAATTGGAAATAAAGTTATTCTATTCTATTTCACACACACAAAAAAAGAAAATTCAGTCATAATTTACTCACCCTCATGTAATTCTGAACCAGTGTTGTTATTGTCAAATTGAAACTATTAAAAAGTTTAATAGCATTTAAATGATCATTTTGCTACTATTTCTGCTTGGACACGTTACACATATCAAATCAATTTGGGTTATACATTTTCATTTTCATTTCGCAACTTATAAAGCGTTACAATTATTATGCAATTTACATATTACTGTTACTACTATTACATTTACTACTGTTGGAAATGGCAAATGTAAATTATATAATTTCATTTTCATTTTCCTTTTGCACCAAACTTTGCACATATGGGTAATGGAAAATGTAAATACAGAAATACATTGGCATTTTGCATATTGCATTTTAAATTGAATTTTGTTACCTATATGCTTCCATAGTTTTTATAGTACAATGACCTCTTATATGTCTCAGCTCATGACCCCTTTAAAGTCAAATAAAAAATGAAAACTGAAATATAAAAAGAAAAGCTAATAAAAAAATATGAACCCCACTTTGTCGTCACGCCTCCCTCGTTACAGTAGTCAATTAGTTCCCAATTAGTTGCCAAGGCAACATTTTTAAATACATTTAAATTGGACTTTTAAATCATTGATTTATCCTGTAAGCACAAAAATAATATTGAAGTATATTGCAAAATGTTTAAATATATGCAAATTCATACATTTAGAATGTAGAGAGACTTACAGTATTATGTGATTCATAACTTAAACAATTTTATTTCAGTAAGTTTTTAAGTATATATGTTATTTTGAATCCTCTTCGTTTTAATGAATGATTTTTCTGATTTTTTTTATAGTTTTAGTTTTATCTAATAATACCAGCACTGGTGAGTCACTTATGAGGATCCTGTCCATTTAGGATGCAGCACTGGATGTAGAAGACAACAAGTAGATAGCAGAGTACTAGGCTTTAGAACAGAGCTAATGTCTACCTGACAACCATATGCATAATTGTTCAATCTTTATTTTAAAGTACCAAATCACACACAAACACACACACACTATATTTGGTCCCATCAGTGGTTCACTCACCCCTGTTCCTCCATCATCTCCTGAAGCTCCATGCATTTCAGCTCCACCCTCCTCTTCCTCTCATGGTCCAGAATCTCACGGTGAGCCTTCTTCACCAGGACCGGCTCAGGTGGGATGCCCTCTTTCTCCTCCGGCTCCTCGTTAGCTTTGGGATGTGTGGCCGCGGGGGTCTCGGGCTGCAGCGGGACCCCATTAGCGGCGTCCTCAGGGGAGGGAACCCTCGCCCCATCGTACATGGCCACAGCGCTCTGACAGACACAAACACAGAGACACGAGATCTGATATTAACATCGATTCCAGAGGAATTACGAAGAACATCACACAGGGTTTTATAGTTAACTACAACTGAAACTAAAGGCATTAACAAAAAACAATTTCATTAATTGCAACTAAATAAATGTTAACTGGATTAAAATAAAATATAAAAAACTTCAACTTATTTTATTTCAGCTAGTTGCTAAGGCAACATTCTCATTTTCATTTAGTTTAAATTGATATTCTAAAACTAAATAAACTAAAATAAATATAAAAAACTATTTATAAAAAATGTATAAGAACTATATAACTAATATAAATGACAGACACCAAACAAAATTTATAAATTATATATCATTGATATTAAAATATAATTTATTTTTTTAAACTTTAATGTGAAAAAATACAAATATAAAAAATACATAAAATGAATACAAACTACACAGATATATTTAGAAAAAAGAACAATAACTATTCAAAATAATAAAAACACTAAATTACTAAAACGTTAGCTAAAATGAAAATGATAATGGAAAATATAAAAATAAAAACTAGTTTAAAATATTTCTAAAAACTAAAATAGTATCTCAATTATACTAAAATAACACTGTAAATACTGCACATGTTGATAATGGTAGCTTATATTCGATCAATTTGACCGTGATACAAATGGACAAAATAACTAGTTTTAATCAAATATTTTACCGTTCAAAGGTTTGGGGTCAGCAAGATATATATTTTTAAGAAATTAATACTTTTATTAATTCAAGGACACATTAAATTGCCCAAAAGTGACAGCAAAAAATTATCTCTATTTCAAATAAATGCTGTTCTTTTGAACTTTCCATTCATTCAAGAATCCTGAGAAATAAAATGTATCACGGTTTCTAGAAAAATATGAAGCAGCACAACTGTTTCCAGCACTGATAATAATCATAAATGTTTCTTGAGCGGCATATCAGCATATTAGACTGATTTCTGAAGATCATGTTCTCATTCTGGAGTAATGATGCTGAAAATTCAGCTTTGATCACAGAAAAAAATGATATTTTATAATATATTATCACAAAAAACTGTTATTTTAAATTGTAATAATATTTCACAATATTACTTTATTTTACTGCATTTTTTATCTAATAAATGCAGCCTTGGTGCGCAGAAGAGTCTTCTTTCAAAAACACTCAAAAATCGAACCAGCCTCAAAATTTTGAACGGCATAATCAAAAATAAGACGTGACTGTTTTTGCACTGATAATAACAATACAAGCAGCAGCAGAGATATGTCAGCTTTCATTTTCCCCCATATCTTCTGTACAGGACACTGCGATTGCATACATATATAAATTAGGAGCAACTATCTCTTTTCTATGTAAGTTGGGCTTTTATACTGTAGTGTGCATTCACAAATGTAAGCTCTATTTATGCAAATGTTAGCTCTGAATAACACACTCCATTCATTGTCACATTAACATCCGGCCAGTAATTCTCATCCACAAAGAAGATATTCTCACCTAAATGAATTGGTATAATAAATGGCAGTAGTTTTTGCTGAGTTGACTGAATCATATTGGCTGCTGGCAATATACCACAAAAATGAAAAAGAGAGAGAAGCGCTGTCTCCTCTCGTCTGGATGAGATCCCAGAACCTGCGACTAATGGTCTCGTATTTCAAAATAGAGACTCGGTTCAACACACTGACTTCCTCACTGTCACCACAAACTCGCACATGATATTTCACTGCATGAGGTCTTTGCTGCAGGCTCACATTTCCATAAAGGTTTTGCAGTTTATTTGGATTTCATTTAAAGGGGTCTTATTATGCCTTTTCACTTTTTGAATTTTAGTCAGTGTGTAGTGTGTATGTTTGGGCATAAAAAAGATCTAGAAAGTTACAAATCTCAAAGTCCACTCCAAAGGGATATATTTCGTTTTGAAAAAATCCCTTTTCAAGAACTACAACGGACGGCTCGTTTGGAAGGGCGAGGTCGTAAAAATGAAAAAGAGAGAGAAGCGCTGTCTCCTCTCGTCTGGATGAGATCCCAGAACCTGCGACTAATGGTCTCGTATTTCAAAATAGAGACTCGGTTCAACACACTGACTTCCTCACTGTCACCACAAACTCGCACATGATATTTCACTGCATGAGGTCTTTGCTGCAGGCTCACATTTCCATAAAGGTTTTGCAGTTTATTTGGATTTCATTTAAAGGGGTCTTATTATGCCTTTTCACTTTTTGAATTTTAGTCAGTGTGTAGTGTGTATGTTTGGGCATAAAAAAGATCTAGAAAGTTACAAATCTCAAAGTCCACTCCAAAGGGAGATATTTCGTTTTGAAAAAATCCCTTTTCAAGAACTACAACGGACGGCTCGTTTGGAAGGGCGAGGTCGTGGTCGTGGTTAGAATGCTTGGTTGAGTGAGTGCATCAGACGAGACGACGAAGAAGAAGTGCTGCTGCAGAGTTAGTGCATCAGAGAAAAGCAAGAAGAAGAAGAGCTGCTGTAGAGCCAAGTTTTCACCATGTCCATCCATATCCGTGCGTGTAAAGGTTCAGCGCGATCCTCTTGTTCAATATTCTGGGGGTCTGAATTCGGCTCAAATTGATATGGCAATATTGACGCCGTCCTTAACTAAACCGGAGCAGATGGAACTGGCGGGGTAGTACTGAAACACCGTCTAAGCTGTTCACCAATCACAAACCACTGGGACAGCTAGACGAGACGACGAAGAAGAAGTGCTGCTGCAGAGTTAGTGCATCAGAGAAAAGCAAGAAGAAGAAGAGCTGCTGTAGAGCCAAGTTTTCACCATGTCCATCCATATCCGTGCGTGTAAAGGTTCAGCGCGATCCTCTTGTTCAATATTCTGGGGGTCTGAATTCGGCTCAAATTGATATGGCAATATTGACGCCGTCCTTAACTAAACCGGAGCAGATGGAACTGGCGGGGTAGTACTGAAACACCGTCTAAGCTGTTCACCAATCACAACGCACTGGGACAGCTAACCAATCACAGCACATTTAGTTTTTCGGAAGGCGGGCCTTCATCAAACCCGGAACTAATCGAGCCGTTTGTGCCAGGCTGGGGAGAAAGGTATTGTTATAATGTAAATTATGTGAAAAATAATGAGTTTTTCGAACCACCAAGCATGAGAGCATGTTCTAGTACACCCCCAAAACAAAATCAAGACTTTGTAAAAGAGCATATACATGTATCGTTCCACCCCTAATATATGTATGTATATATATATATAAGAGACAACAGAAGTGCATAGAGTGTAACATATGATCTTTTCTCTTCTTGTTTTTTAATCACACGGTCAGAGCTGGGTGGCTAAAAGGTTTTGATTACAGATGCTTGTTTTCCAGCATGGACTGATGATGGAGGGTGGTGTTCTTCATGTTGTTTAGCACGCCGTGGATTGTGGGTAAAGCCACAAAGTGCAGTAGAGCTGAACAGGTGGTGGAACAGCAGGAGGAATCATCACTGAATTCATTACACGCTAAATCTTTGCCTCAGATATCTGCGACTTGAATATTTATTCTCCCCATAAGTCTCTGAATTATTTTCCCTTTATATTCATTGTGTCTTGTGACTGTCTTCCTGCATAAGCAGTGTACTGCTAACTCTCTCTCCCGAGTATAATTAAAAACTGCTGGATATGGTCTTGTTTTGTTCCCATAGTCTCTACTTCATTGTAATTTGTGCTGACACCTTTTACTCAGTTCAACAAAACAAAAAAATACTGCTTACTTTTGAGTTAAAACTGGGCAAAAATTAAGTTCTTTAATGCAGCGACTGTCCGGCTACTTTACGAGCATCAGCATTTTCCTGTGATACCTGGAGACATGCAGTGCAATTTAACTTTTACAACTCAAGAATGAGTGAACATCGTTTCGTGGAAATGTCGCCACAAAAACAGACCAATGTGTAAAACTCTTGGACTTATTTGAAAGATTCTATGCCGCAAACTTTAAATATTTCACATACTTTTGAAAATTGAGTTGATCCTGATAAGCGTTCATTGTCACAGTTGTAAACACTACGGCTTTCTTCTTCCATGAGGGGGGTTGGGGTCACGGCATCTTTGTTTCCAGAAAACTTTGGGGTCAGTGAGATTTTTTCAAAGAAATTAATAATTTCATTCAGCGAGGATGCATTAAATTGATAAAGTGGCAGTAAAGATTTTTATAATATTAGAAAATATTTATATTTTATAAATAAATGCTGTTCTATTTAGTTTATATTTATCAATTAATCTGAAAAAAAAATGTATCACGGTCTCCACAAAAATATTGTGCAGCACAACTGTTTTCAACATTGATAATAATCAGAAATGTTTCTTGAGCATCACATTATAATGATTTCTGAAGATCATGTGACACTGAAGACTGGAGTTAATTATTGTTTGGTAGTGTGTGTGTGTGTGTGTGTGTGTGTGTGTGTGTGTGTGTGTGTGTGTGTGTGTGTGTGTACACATATGCTTTTGCATATATAGTCAAACCAAAATTTATTCAGACACCTTCAAAATTTTACACATTATTATGTTTATTCGCAATAGTTTAGTAAATGGTCAAATAAGACAAGACAAGAACTCAGAGTTAAACTGTGTCAGAACAAATGCATCGTGATAATGTCAGATAACACTTAAGCAAAACATGGTCAGGTCAAAGTGTCTGAATAATTTTTGGTCCCAAATTTGTATCAATTTTACTGGTAGTTCACTGTATGAAGAATTGTTTGGTACAATATATCACAGTTTACTTTATTTTGCTATATATATCTCACATCATGTCACATATATATATTATCCAATATAAATAATTATACATAATTTCATATATATATATATATATACAGTGGGTACGGAAAGTATTCAGACCCCCTTAAATTTTTCACTCTTTGTTATATTGCAGCCATTTGCTAAAATAATTTAAGTTAATTTTTTTTCCTCATTAATGTACACACAGCACCCCATATTGACAGAAAAACACAGTAT